AAGAGTTGCACAAGTAGTTACTTACATGGAGTGTGGATGAGAAGAAAGTCCCAAAACAACAGCAGAGATGCTTAACAATATACCGTTTGTGTTGCCAAAAGGCTTCATAACAATATAGCTGTCAGTGACTTAGCTGGGAAACTAATTCATCTTTGGAGGTTTTGCAAGGCAGGAATCTGAGCTATACTTTTGAAAATGGGCACTTGCAGTTCTGCTGCTGAGACCTTTCTAGCACAGCACAGTCTCTTGAAGTCGAATTGCAGCAAATCTCTGCATCTTGAAGTGTACAGTTTCCAGCTGTAAAATACTGTGGTTCATAGAAGGTTTGTATGATGACCACCATCAGTCATGAGAGAGCTGCAACAGGTCGCATTGCCCTTCCCCAGCTTCTCACAGGGCAGGTGACTATGTGGGGTTTGAGTCTAAAGGATTTTGGTACCTTTGAACTATTCAAGCAGTGAAATATCTCTGGATATTCAAGCTGGAAATATTTGTGTCCAGGGATGCTGTTCCCTGTTGCCTTTGTGCTGTTCTGACCAACATGCTGTGTCTGGAAAATGCTAGCAACTTCAGACTAGAGAAGTGCATTTCACACTGAGGTTTTAATGTGAGTTATGGAGCAGAAAGCAAAAGCTGGGTCCTGAACCATCAGCATCTAACTCAAAACTCTCCTCAAACTGGTGCAGATATGAAGTACTTCCTTGTTAGCAATGTAGACATCAAAAAGGGCTCAATCTCTGCCTTAGTGTAGTTTACAGCCTGGGGGGATGAGAATTGCAGTGATTTCTTTCTCAGTGTTTTTTCTTTATTATTTTCTACATGCTTTTTGTTTAAGACTCATCTTTTTTTTTTTTTTTTTTTAAAAAAAAAAAAAAAAAAAAAAAAGGCATTCTGCTAATATTGTGTGGTTGACCACACAGATCTGCAATGCCCAAATACTCTTCCCCCACATCACACCCCATAATGTGTCCCATCCCTCCAGGGAACAACCCATCTCAGTTCTCAGTCCTAAAGCTGATGTTGACTCATAAGGGTGAGTTTCATGCCTGGGCTGAGGCTGTCCTGAGCCAGCCCTAAGAGGGACCCAGACAAGATGTGCCTTCTTCTGAGTCCTTATTTCAAGTTCCCACTTGTCTTTGTGCCCCTGTGCTCCCCTGAGCTGGTGCAGATGGGCCTTTGATGGGCTGATGGCTTCAGGGATGGGACTGGGAGCCTTCAGGGCAGGGTCTTATTTGGGATCCCCCTCCTGCTGTTGTCTCTCTGTGTTCCTTTTTGGGTGCATAGATGAGCTTTTATCACATAATCTAACAAGTGCAGTGAGAATATATTGCATTTGTAGGTGGATTTGGCAAAAAAAATATTTCCTGAAGGTGTTAAGAATTGCTTTGTATTGGTCCTTGCCTGTTAATTGCCAAATTGGCAAGGGACCAAGGACATTCTTCAGATTGTGAGTTTACAACACAAAAAAGATATACCCTGGGAAAAAAACAACAACAACAACAACAACAACAAAAAAGCTTTCTGTTCCTTTCTAAAATGCAAGAAGACAATGAAGACAAACAATCACAGTGAATTTATCCCAGTATATTTTATAATATGAAATGCAGGCAAAAGATTCAAAAGATTAAGCTCTATTCTCCTTTATGACCATTTAATCACACTGGTCCCACTGCTACGCTCAGGATAGAGTTTAGAGGAACGTCCCCTTTCTTTTGAACGTGCCCCTTTCTGCTTTTGCCTGGGACACATCCGTTCACATTTTCCCTGCATTGCTTGTCACTGGGTGTTGGCAGCATAAACAAGGAGGGTGTAGAGGGGTGTCTTACATGGGGACAAGGGTTTATGTAGGAAGAGGGAGGAGGTGGGAAGGTATCAGGAGACATCCAGATCACAAATAAGACCTTAAGCACCCAATCACTTATGGTAGCTTAACTTGCTGCTTGCAAGATCTGAGCTGGGATAGCTGCCTGTACAAACGCTGTACTTAAACTCTGTTTAACACTCAGGGGACCATAGCCAGGACAAGGGCTGGGCACGTAATTTAGATCTCCATACCTGAAGTCCCCAGATATTGTTTCTGGGTCTGAGGCCAAACTAGCCTGTTCACAGATGTACTAATGTCAAGGTCACGCCAAGGTATGTTGATAAGGACCGTGGCTGGCATCATGCTACTTACTGGTAATGACTTGAATTAACTATTGAAAATAGTTTCAGGAGGTAAACCATTCCCAACAGCTGGAGTTGGCAGCCCTGCGTGGTTTCCCACACCAGCTGCTGCTTCAGCATCATCCCTGCCCTACCCGCTTCCCAGAACAGTGGCAAATCCTTCCGAACCCCTTTTGTGAAGATTTGTGAATATATGTGAGCAGAGGGAGATGCAGGGATGGTCTGGGATGTGATGTAAGATGCTGGGAAGAGTGAAAGTACTGATGTCTAGGTTGGATCAAACGTGTGTTTTAAGAAAGGAAAAAAATGATCCTAATCCAGGTCACAGTGAACTTGATGAAAGCAGTCATGAGTATCCATACGAAACATGAGCATTCATAGGAAATTGTAAGTAGCGAGAATTAAAATAGAGTATCTGGTGTTTATTTCCACACTAGAAAAGGGTCTTGGGAGTTATTCTGGTTTCTCACCTTCCCATCATGTGCTATAAAGGATGGGATGATTAGGAGTTTGGAGACACTGCAGTTCACTGCATAAACAGTGGTTTGGTGGTGTTCAGGTTTTGTTTTGTTTTTTTTTTTTTTCAAATTCTAAATATAAGTCCAAACTTAGCTCAGCTACCAAAAAAAAAAAAAAAAAAAAGTTCTGGTGAAATGAATGTTTGTTTTGGAGGCCAGAACTGTTTCTTTTATGAACAACACTCCATTTTATAGACTTTTCCAAGAAAGGCTGGATAATCCCCCTGCCTCCTCCACTTGAAAAAATAATAGAAAAGCAGGAGTTGTGTTTACAAATACTAAATTGGCCCAGTGTTAACAGGAGTAAGGGTTCAACCCATCAGCATTGCAGCTCTTGAATTATCCGCTCCATAAATGGAGAATCAGTCTGCTTCTGGGATTTGGAATATTTTGGGGGGAGGGGGTTAGTGGCTGTGTTTTTGTCTAGACTAACAAGTACATCCAGACTAGTAAAGCAAATGTGTTTGGGGCCACTCTTCAGCACAGGCCATCTGGTGTGGATGGGGCCATGCATGGGGGGCCGTGCTCTTAAACTCCTTTTCTCACTCTCCAAAGCACAGTGGCAGCATCCGCACAGGCTTTTGGGTTGTGATTCTCAAATTGTACCCAGGAATAGTTTGGAAGATTTGTGATTGACTCCAAAACTTCCCTCTAAAAAGTTAAAATGAGAGCAGGATTGTTCCCTGGTGTTGTTTAATTTATTGGTGCAGGCGAGCCTGAGCAGCCGGGGTTAATAAAGTCTTTTGTTATCCAGCCTGACCCACTTGTCAGCCCTTGAGCTGCTGTAAATGTATTTGTAGGGGCCAGACTTAAAATAAATCTCGAGGCATTTGGCAAACAGCAGCTAATTGAATGGCACACACTACCCATCACGTGCTGCAGATGAGAAACTTGAAGCAGAGCAAAGGCTTAAGACCACAGCCTGAGGCTCCTGCCTTCAGATTAGTCTTTACAGGACTCGGTAAATATTTACATGCCGCCTCTAAAAACCAGGCCTGTGCTGTCTCCAAGACACCATGTCAAACCCCATGGAAAATCTGTTTGGCCTTAGGCAGGTCCGCAGGGATCCCCAGGAGAAAAGCCAGCTGCAAAGCTGGGGATGTGCCTGGCCCAGACCTGTGGCCACCAAACGCACTGCCCCCACGCATTGGATAAGTACTGGATTGGGGTGATGAAATGTGGGGGATCCTCATCAATGTGGCACACAGAATGGGTTAAAATGGTGGTTTTTAATGGTAGCAGTTGCAGTTTTGCTCAGTTTGCTTGCCTGAAGCCTGCAGCTGAGCAGTGAATGAGACTTCTCTTGCAGGGCTTTTGCTTGTTCCTAAATTGCACATATTCTGACACAGTTGCTTCAGTTGCTTCTCCAATTTTTTTTTTTTTTTTTTTTTTCCTAATCAAAAGAGTGTTATTTAAGCAATGGCACTTTTGGGGCTTTTTGCAAACATCCGAAGTTTTAAAAACCACAATATATTTTTCTTCTCACAAAACAATAGCATTGTGGAAGGAAGGGATTCATTTTTCAACTTTTAAAAACTTGTTTAAATCACTACTGCCAGGCAGGGGACACCAGAAGGGAAACAGAGCATTTCTGGGTCTCTCTGTATCCCCTGACTTGCCAAGGCAAAGCAACTCCCTGCCTTTCTGCCTGGCTTGAGGTCTCATCGGAACTCTCTGAGATCATGGACTGCCCTCACCTACCCTTCTTTGGCAGGAAAATTAGCAATAATCCACACGAAACAAAGGCCATTTATACTTTGATTTCCTCCCCTGTCTGTCCCAGGACGTACGAGCTGTTCTTGCTTGTCTTTCTCTGAATCACCAGTCCAGCCCTGATCTTTAAGAAATTAAGCTGGTTGTGGGGAGGAAGAGAAAAGAACCATTCCACTTCCTCCCCGTCCTGCTCCTCCCTCCTTTGCTGAGTGCTTTTTGCTCAGATACTCTGAGTTATGAATACTCTGCTGCGTATCTTGTGGCTATCAAGGTCAGACTAAAGGAGGGAGGTGAGTCATTGCCATTCAAATGGCTACAGACTATAATTCAAATAAGGCCAGAGCACCGGGGTTGATTCAATACAAAGGAACTCAATGTCCACAGGTCGATGCTCTGCCCTTTCCAAAATTTCACCCTGAAACTTCTCAGTATGCAAATACTGAAGCAGAAATTGCAGGTGGTGCTGCTGTGTTGAGGGCCCAGAGCTGATCAAAAGTTTTAGGATGGGCAGAGAAAAGCAGAAAAATTAAGTTGGGAGGAATACAAAAAACTTTCTGAGAATTTTTCTTTCTTTTTTTTGTGTGTGTATGTGTGTGTCTCCAGGCTTCAAACTGTTCTCCATGGCTTAAATGGACATCAAAGAACATCGCTCTGCTGCAATGTGCATCCCTGGATGATCTGATCCTTCATGAACTAACTTCCAAGAAAAAAAATAGCCGCCCTCTTCTTTCTACAATTTGGTTTCTTTAATTTATGGCTTGCTTCCACAAAGTAAAACTAAATTTTAATGGTGATATTGCTCCCCTCTAAGTCTCCTGTTAAGCAGAAGGACAAGGGTTTGTCTTTGTTGAAACTTCATAAAGAGGGGTTAACAGCAGGTCACAGAGAGGTGGAAGAGACTTGGAAGCACTGTGAGAAGCTGAAAGGAAATACCTAGCTTTGCCTTTTTAAAGCCCATTTGGAGGAAACAAACCTTCTTCACTTATGGATGGGGTAGTGGAGTCGACATGGTCAGCCTAAGCCTGATGTGCTAACTGGGAGGTTTCTACAGCACCCTTTCCTTTTTGCCTTACGTTGGACCCTACATTGTACTTGGTCAGCAGCGACGACAGAACCTGAGCAGGAAAGATGGTCGTTGTAAGGAGGAGGAATGTGAAAGTGTTCACTTTCGCCTTTTTGCTCATCACCGTAACGTCATTTCTGCTGAACTACACACACCAGGTGACCACGACCACCTGGGATCCGAGACATCTCGTCATGCAGTTTTCAGAGCAAGTCCAAAAACTCTTCAAGTACCCCAGGAGACCATGCAGCTGTCGCACGTGCATTTCTGAGCTGGGACACTCCCTCTGGTTCGATCAGAGATTTAATTCAACTATGCAACCTTTCCTGACCTCACAAAATGCCTTGATCCCAGACGACAGCTACAGGTGGTGGCTGGTAAGTAGGAGGTGTGGATACAGCCCGGCATTCGTGCGATGGATGCAGTGTGAGGCTTCGAGCAATGCAGAGTACATAGTGAGAGACGGTTCCTGCCAAAAGCATTTGCCGTCTCGGCTGACGAGGCAGGCAGAGGTGGAAGAAAGTGGGTGTTTGTGCTGCTGTTTAGCTTGCAGGCACTCAGAGTGCACGTTCACTTGCTCCAAGCTAGAAAAGTCCCTGGCAGAGTTAGGCATCGAATCTAGAATTTGCAAATGTCTGCATTGTCTTTTTCCTCCCCTGTCTTTGAAACACTAAACTTCCTAAGCTGGCTTCTTTCATTTCAGATGGTAAAAAGGGCTTTTGCAGTTCATCGAGGTAGCAAAGCAAACTCATTGCAAAGTGGATAATTCCCCTAGGGCTCTCCTTACTGTAAAACATGTAAATAATCAGCAGGATTAAATGGAAAATTATTAATTCCATGTGTATGAGAATAGTCTCCATTGGGGCTGATGATGTAAAATGGGTCTATAAAGCACACTGGTGACCACAGGTCACTGCGAAGGAGTAGCCCCAGCATCTACTTGTGCTGGGTGGTCCAATGAGCCCAATTCAAACATCATGAAAGCTAGCCAATACCTTGTTCGAAAAGCACAGAAGGGAGGAAGGTGTTTCCTGTTGCTTTGCCTAATTAAAACCCCTTTTGTGTTCTCTTGAAACAAGACATTGATTAAATGAATTGCTTGAACTGCTAAAGCACAGTTGGCTGCAGTGATCCCAGTCAAATCACGGTTTCATTATGAGTTGCTTTCCCCCTATTTAGAAATAATAGTCTCCCTGTGCCTTTCTATGAACACACAACAGCCTGCAACTTGGTGTCCTGTGGTGAGCAAAACACTTGACGTTGAATTTGGGGCTTTCAGCCCTTCCCTGGCACCCTGGGGAGGCCCCTCCAGCAGGCACCAACTTTTGCAGTGGGAGCATTTAGTTTTTGAAAGTGGTGTCAAGTGCTGTGAGAATGAATCTGTAATCTGATTTATCACTTCTCACTCAGTTGACTTTTGCATTTACTGGTGAAAAAGAGATGCCACTGAACTTAACATCTTTCACTTTTGCATAAATTATATCCTAATTTTATGATGAAACACCCATTTTTGCTATGAGTCTCACATACTCCATGCGTTGCATCCTTTCATCTGATCCTTGGCCATGACTCAGATTTCCTATCACTTGTGCTTTTTCTTGCAACCTTCCTTCTGGTCCCCACATTTCCTAGCGGGGCTTTGCTGGAGCCGTGAGAAGGGAAGATGGCAAGCTCAAGTCCTGGTTCCCTTTACACTGAGGTGAGGTTTCACCAGGGACCTGATCTGATCTAACAACTGGCAGTTTTCAGAGGAGAGGGGATACCCCAGATTGAGCTCAGCACATAAGAGGATGAGGTTGTTCGTGGACACCTTGAGTGTTGAGGCTTGTTGTGAACTGCCTCCTGATTGCTTCTGAATACAGAAACCAGGAGGAGAGGGTGGGATGATCAATCCTGTCTTTGGTGTAAGGGCTATACTCTTGCAGCACCCCAGGCTGAGGGGTCCTGTAAGACATGGCTGGGTGGGCAGGGTGACTCTAATAAGGGGGATCTGTCCACAAAGGCTTCTATATCACCCCTGAGGGAAGCTACTCTTCATCCTGCACTCAGACCCCACTCTGATTTAAACGTGAGGTTTGAATACATTCTCTTTATAAAAAAACAAACAAAAAAAAAATAAAAGGAAGAAAAAGCTTGGGACTTTCAGTACAGAAGTCCGAATTTCTGATTCTCCTTGTAATGAAACTGGAAAAAAAAAAAAAAAAAAACAGCGTACAAATATCTCACTTGAGCTCAGTCTGAAACAAACTTTTTTGGGGTGAGGGTTGTTTATTTTTCAGTTAAATTAAAAATAGTGACTTTCAGGACAGCTCAAAGTCTTCTTTTAGTTACTCCCCCCTCACCCCTCCCAGCCCAAATAAAAGCTGTACTTTAACTTTCAGGGCTGTGTAACCCTATTTTTAGTGTTTTCATTAATTTTCCTGAATTCAGGTCAAGTTCAAAGGAAATATACCACTTCAGAACATAAAAAAAAAAAAGAAAGCAGTTTTTTCTTAGAAGATAAAAATAAATCTTCTAATATTTCTGTACTTTTTTCTACCATATTTTTTTTTCAGCCAGAAATTATCTTCAACCAGAATGTATGAAATATTTTGGTGTCCACCAAAACTGCATTGTATATTGGAAATCAGTAACTGAAAATACTTGCCATAATCTGTGATAGATGGATAAGGTGCCTTGACTCCTCTGAAAGATGCTTGTGGGTAAATCCAAGCATGATGTGGCCTCAGCTTCTCATTGCAACCTATTTCATATACACACGTTACTTTTCCAAGACAGTCAGTGTCATTTCTGCAGTAATTCCCTGGTGCATCGTGTCCTCACTCCCTTTTTGCTTTTCATTTTTAGGTTCATCTTCCAAGTGATTCTGAGACTTCAGCCAGTCTTAACGGAAACATTGCTCATGGCCATGTTTTATACTTGCTTGCTTTGCCAACTCAATAATTTGTAAATTTTTACTATATTAGTACATAAATGATGAGGCATGAGGAAACCTGAAATTGCTTAAACTTCATTTTAGGGGAGAAATGACTGTGCATACGCTCTCAGGAACTGACTTCAGACCAGAGTGGTGGTTTCATTACGCTGTAACTGAGAGAACGGTGACTGCACCGGAGTTATTTGTTATAAGGCTGTCACTTTCCTGTCACGGGGAGACCCATGTGATGTGCTTGGACTAAACACAGACAGAGCCCTTGACGGAGAGGTCTCTGTCTACCAAGCTCAGTCTACCCTCCCTTCCCATTAACCTCGTGCTGTATATCTGAATAAGTATTATTCATCCAAATACCCCTGTAGCATTAGTATCCCTCCACTTCTAGGAAAGTGAGGACTGATTTCAGAGCCTAATGACCAGTATTTGAGATGAAGTGACATCTGGGGCCAAAGGGTGGGGTGGTTTCACTTGCTCATAGCTCTTCACATGGCTGCCAGGTTGTTTCATGGTTTATTTGGAAAATAAATGGTTCAAGCTCTTCCAGCTTGGTAGGATGTGGCCTTTTGGAAGGAAGTATTCCTGGCTGGTTTGAATAAAATTGTGTTATCCATACTGGAGTCAGTGGTACCACCTGTGCAGGTTGGAGAAGCAGGGAAGAAGTCAGTGCCATTGTCCCTGCAGCAGGTCATCTTGCTGCACAGGGCAGGGCTGTTTCTGGAGAAGGCACCTGAAAATGTACCTGGCTGTTTCTGTGATCATGGAAACAAGGGAGCTGTTGTCAAGGCTGTTACTGACTCTTCATTTGCTTAAATCTACCCAGCTGATAAACTCTCTCTTGGTTACTTTAGTCAGGTAACAAATAATGGCCCAAATTCTCTTCCTGGGTACACCCCTGCAGCTGCTCAGTGTTTTCTGTGACGTAAAGGTGAATTGGAGTCTTTCTCTCTCAGAGGTGATCTGGGCGTTAATAATACTCCAGACTAACCAGCTTGTTAGAAATTCCTCCCTCTCCTCTCCTTCTCCTTTCACTCTCCTCTCCCTCTCCTCTCCTCTTCTCCCTCTCCTCCTCTTCCCCTCTCCCTTCCTTTTTCTCCGCTTTACCTCTGTGTCACTCTGTCTGTCCATCTGCCTTCCCTTATCTTAGACTCAGGAATTGTGCGAGTCTCAGTGTTTTGGAATTTAGTACCTTATGTTACATAATGCATTTCTTTCTGTTAATATTTTCTTATCCACCTCCTTGAGCTGGTTCACCTGCAAGTTTTTCATTGTTGATCCATGACACAAATGCTGTGGACATTTCCACTAAATTTAGTAACCTGTATATAAGGAAACAGGGCAAGAATTACGTGCTGTAATACAGCATAGCATTTATTTATAGTTTTCTTCTTTTATTTTTGAGGGGGTTTGTCATTGTTTTTTCATGGTCAGAAAGTAAAAAAAATATAAGATCAGAACCTGCTGTTCTAAATCCAAAATAACCCTGTTGAAGTTGATGGATTAAAGCTGTGATAAGTAAAATCAGGCTCAGAGCTCCCTGGCAATCTTATCTGTAGCACATTGTTCATAAACTACCACATTATAACAATTTTTATCTCAAGTCTTATGATATTTGAGGGTTTTGCTTTATTTTTTTGGAAGAAAGCTCAGCTCTTGAGTCCATGTGATTAGCGTATGTAAAAGAAAATGTTAGCTTTTAATTGTTACATTTGTAGAAAAAAATGTAATATACAGCTTAAAGATTTGCTAACCAGACAGCGAACAAAAGGGCATCCCCAACACATGCATTGGGGAAGTCATGGAAGCTGTACTTATTTTTAAGACAGCAGCAGAACTACTTGGCACCTGAGTTATGTAGTTTGAATGCTCTTTGTAGAAAATATGCTCAAATACTTTTAACCAGAAGTCTTCTTTAAAACTCGGATGCTGTCTGTGATACTTTTAAAGCAATACAAAGGGCTCAGTGCTTTGAAGGTAGCGTGTTCACAGCAGAAGGTGGTACCAAATCCAGCCCAGGTCCCAGGCTTTAGTCCCAGTGCCTGCTACAAGCCCAGTCCCACCTCGTGGTGTACTGCTTGGGTGCAAGCATGACATTTAGACCCACCTTGGATATACTGGGAGAACCTGACCCTGGGCTACCTCTGGCAGCCCCCGCATACGTCCAGGTGGGCTGCAGGTCCAGGGTCTCCTACAGCAAGGACAGATGGCTCTGAAGGTGGTCCAAGCCCATGGGTCCCTCTAAACACTGCAATGCATTCTGCCAAGCTGCAAGCATCCTGCAGCCAGAAATGAGGGCACACAGAGCTAATAGAGGCAGGGTCTTTGCTCCTTAGAGTAGCATGGAAGTGACCCGTTCCAACAATGGAAATAATCAACCATCAGAAATAATACAATTTGGCATATGCATCTTATTGTGTGTTATTTGCATAATATATTCACATTATATTCATATTTGAGAATGCATATATTTGACAGACACAAATCATTAAATAAAGCCTGAACTCTTGAAAGCCCCTATATTCTTCCCCTTAATCTCTTTGATGCATAGTAATAGCAGGACATCAAATACAACAATAATTATGCCATATTTTCCAGACTAAGGAGGCATTTTTAAAATTGATGGCTTCCTTTTAACCTCTCCTTCAGTCTGCAAAATGGAGATTACCTGGATTTGCCCCACCAGGCTGTTGCTAGGATTAATCTTTGTACAGTGTCTTATATCTGGGAAACGTTGCGTGAGTATTAATGCCTCTGAACTGCTGCAGCGAGGCAACTAGCAGCTGTGCAAAGGAGATTCTCAAGGGGCTTTATTCCCTCTTTATCTTTTAAAAACTTGGAGCTGTCCCAGAGCCACACAGCACTGTTATGGCTCTGCCTTACACGGCACGGACAGACTTTTACCCAGTGCTTCTGTTGATTTATGGGAAAGGCCAGACTGGTGGGAGCTTGTTAAAAAAAAGACAACACTGCTCAAAAAAAATGACAAAAATTTGGTGTGAGAAACTGACCTATAATTGACTTGTAATTGTAATGGTATTAAAATGGTCTTTTTCAAGAAGTCAAGTAAACATTGTACAATGAGGAACTGGCTGCACATTAAGTCTGAACTTTTAAAAACTATCTGCCTTGGAGTTAACCAGCTTCACTGCCTGCTCTGCTCTGTTTTGCTGAAATGTCAAAGACTAAGCAGTGCTGATTGAAGATTAAGCCTGAAAAGTGTAGTCCAATCACATAGTCACTGAGGAAATTAAAACAGCACCTTTAATGATGGATGTCTTATTGTATGGATGCTCAGCACACCGTGCAATAGGGTCATCATCCTATTTGAGGCCACTGAGAGAATCTCTAACATAAGTAATAATCTCCGCTGTGGAAGTTGTGTACAACTGAGGGATTGTAGGATGATGGTGTCCTGCTTTCAGGTTGGTGTTGGTGCCTAAGTTTTAACTTGGTATCAATAGCGTTACTCTAGACTGACAGCAGCATAGCAGAAAGAAAAGGCATATCCCTGTTCTATGTAAATGAAGATGCCTTTCCATAATAATGTTTCTTACCATTTTAAGTCCTTTCATTTTCTGATGCTACCATTCTTTCTGAAAAGGCAATTTAATTTAATAAGGGGGGCTCAGGCACCTAGAATTTTCTGAAAATTACCTTTCTTATCTGAATTTTCTTAGGCAAAATCAGTTCAACAACAGGTTTTGGGGTTTGTTTTTGTTTTTTGTTTGTTTTGTTTTAGTTTGGTTTGTTTTTTGTTGTTGTTGTTTGTTTGTTTGTTTTTCCCCAGAATAACTATGTTCTTAAAAATAATTTAGTTCATGTTTGGTGGTTTTCCCTTTCATTTCTTAAAGGTTCTTAAAGTCAGCTCACCTTTATAGAGAGAGAATATCCATGGGAGTATGCACATACATGTTCAGATAACTCAAAAATAAGTTACTTTTTAAAAAAGCGTTGGATTTTTCTACATCGTACAACTAATACTACACTCTAAGACATCTATGAAATCTCCATTTATTTTAAAATAAAAAAATATGGTGATATATCTGTTTGTGCATGAGAGCAAGATAGAAGGACAAATTAAGAGTTTTTGGTGCAGTCAAGGCAAATGCATCAGAAACTAAAGCCAAATTGCCCCAGGCCATTTCTGGGAGTCGTGGGAAAAGGTGTTTCTCCTCTCTCCCTCCCTGTCTCTCCTTGCCCTGGGCTGGCAGAGCAAGGGCAGAGCCCTTTGGCAGGTTTTGTGAACTTGCAAGCAAGCAACACCACAAAAGTGAGTGACGCTTCTTGTGAGCCTGCCAGCACTCCCAATCTCTTTGTAGCCCTCAGAGAGCAGAGCCCCAGAAAGGGAGTGTCTGACCATCACCTGCCCTGCATCTTACCTATACCTTCCTGATCCAGCCTTTGTTTCCACCATGCACCACAGAGTTGCTACAAAAGAGTTTCCCTCCATGGCAACAGACACAATGACCAAGGTCCGGGTGGTTTTCTTCATCCTGGAAAATTTTTTAGATGATTTTACATCCCCAACCCTCAGGGCTAACTCTACTTTATTGTAGTTCCCTATTGCATTAGCAGATGGTTCCTCCACAGTCCAGCACAACAGCAACAAGATCTCCCACTTCTGGCATATACCAGAATTTGTGGAAAGGGTATCAGCCACTTCTGTGCTCTGTCAGATTCCCTAAGACTCTTCTGTCCTTCCTAGGAGGGTTAAAAGAAAATTTATGACTGTCCTAACAGAAGACATCTGGCCTAAAGTGGAATTAAGTTTATAGACACCATAGAAACATTCATTTTGCTAAGGTTGGCCTTGGGGAGAACACATAATCTGCTCTGCCATGGCTAGTTAGAGACTTGAGGAGGTATGGGAATCCAAGGAGAAGAGGGTAAATGGGGAATCAAGTTAAAAAATTTAATGGGAAGGGATTTTTTGCCTTTTTTTTTTTTTTTTCCACACTTCTCCCAACCTGAAGCCTTGTAATGCATACTGCAGGAGACAGTGTCTGCAGGTAGATGTAATAATGGTCTTTGAGAAGAAAGATATTTGAAGCTATATTTTCCAGATGCCCACAGAAAAGCTAACTATACTGGTAACCTGGAGTGATTTTTCTCCCTAACAGAAATTGCAAGGAGAGAAAACTCCGAAGAATATTAATGCTACTCTCAAGGAATTGTTTGAGATCATTCCTGGGGATGGGGATCCATTGCAGGAGAGAGGCACTTACACATGCAGACGATGTGCTGTCGTGGGCAACTCTGGGAACCTTCGGCAGTCTCAGTATGGCCAAGATATTGACTCCCATGACTTTGTGCTCAGGTGAGTAAGCACCACCTCAGCTCCAGATGTTAAGATTCACTGTTTTTTGGGGGGACAAGTGGGCAAACAAGATTTCAGGGGCTATCAGTGAAATCTGGTACTTAGGTCAAATCTAACTTCCAGGGATGTAAACTATGTGTGTTGGAGATATGACATCATGTTTTAGCTTGGGAAAAAAACATGAATAGACATTGATACTGTAGCTTGTTCTGCACTATCCATAATTGCCTGCGTTTAAAAATATATCTGAAAAAATCTGCAGTTTTGAGTAAAATTTATTTCTGCTGCTAGTACTCAGAAGTGATCCTTTTCACACTTAATTGACTGTATCAGATTTTACTTTCTTGCACTGGTTCATTCTGAAGCAATGGTGGGGTAGGAAACCAAAGTCACTTTGCAATGGATAGTAGACAGCTGGTCACCTCTTTCTTTCAAGGCAATGAAGGTTGGGTATTCTGTTCCACTGAGTCATAAGTGGGAACTAGATAAGCAGAGCTGACCACCCAGAGGGCAGCCAAGATATCTGGGCTAAGTTCATCTCCAACGTGTTGTCCAACTTTCACACTGCAGCTGCAAGCATGATCTGGGAAGCTATGCAGGGCAGGTCAGAGGGCTTGGAAGGGAGGGATTTCTATTGAAAATACCACATGTGGGATTATATTCTCAGAAATAGCAACTTTTAGTAGGAATTTGTGCACAGAAGTCAAGAGTGGATCAGCTGAAGATCAACGCTATTTGAACTGTTAAGCTGCTTTAGGCCACTTGGCTTCCAATGTGGCTTGGACAGGCTGTAGAGTATTCAGATGACATCTAAATGTTCACAATAAATCATTTCAGGAGTTGCTTCCTTCCTTTGTGTGCCTTTCCCTCTGCCAAAAGTACCTCCCCAAAGGCAGAGGCAGACAACCTGGTCTTCAGATCCATAAAGACCCCTCAACATTAGTCCTGCAGGTTGCAAATATGAGGAAGCTGAGGTGCATTTATGCTTAACTCCGTGTCCCTTGCTAACGAGATAGCTGCATTCTTGTGTGTACTTTTTTATCTTCTGTAGAGGTATTTCTGCAGTCCTGAGTTCAGAGACCCCCACTCTGTTCATTGGTACACCAAACATAAGGTCGCCCTGTTTGGCCAACATGTTTTGACTGAGCCCAGGTGGGCCCTGGGCACATCTCCATGCACTGACCCCAGGGTTACCTAAAGCATACCATGTGTATGCAGAGTGACCCTAAGTAGATGTATGACGGCTGGAGGACATGCTACAAAGTAAGGTTTGAATAAATGAAGTGTCAGCAACAGGTCCTGGATTTGTCACTGTGGCTTGGGTGCCTTTTCATGGGAGGACCTTAAGAAATATCTGCTGCTTCTCATCACACGTAACATGGATTGACCCTAGACATCCAGATATACCTGTACAGATGGAGGGTGAATGAAACTTCAAGAAGTCAAGCTGATGGACTTTAGGGCAATATTTTTCTCGACTGCTGGAAGCTGCAGCTTTAGGATGAAAGGAGATGTGTCCTCATGGACTTATCACTATTTTGGCCACTGACTGTAAGGAAAATGCAGGGATGTGCTCAGAGATACCCCTGTTTGGTAGACACTCCCATTCAGTCAAAGGAACCCCACACTGAATTTGAGCTTTCATTCACTGTTAATTTATCCACATGAGTGATGGTCATTTCATCCTGCTTGAGGAACCTGTCAAGGCTGCCTGAAGACCATGCATGAAGGTCTCTCCTGAGCCACAGGAACATTTTCCTGCCACCTCAGGCAAATGATCTGAGGAAGATTCACACATGTTTGTAACTACCTAATTCCTCTCCTTCTTCTTAACTCTCTCACTTCTTACTTTTGGAGTGCAGAATGAACCGTGCCCCCACTACTGGTTACGAATCAGATGTTGGGAGCAAGACCACTCACCACTTTGTTTACCCTGAAAGCTACAAAGAACTGGCAGAAAATGTGAGCATGATCCTGATCCCCTTCAAGACCCTGGACCTGCGCTGGGTTGTCACCGCTCTCACCACAGGCACCATCAACTTGTGAGTAAAGGCAGGCTGGAGGGGTGGGAATTCCTGCACCTCATGTTGCTGTGGGAGATAAAAGCCTATGCTGGACAAATCCCTGCTTCTGATATGGCCTAGGGGATCTTTACGAACACTCTCAGGTCAGAGTTCAGTCCTGAACACTTGCTTTCTAGGAAAAGTTTAATGTTATGTGCAGTCTTTGAGGTGAAGATCCAGATCCAGCTCTTCACATACCCACACAGTGGTCTCAGATAAATGTAAAAGTTTTTGCTTCTGGAGGCAGCCAGCTTGAGCAGCAGCTTCATGGGCTTTGGGGTTCAGTGCCTCATTTTGGGCTTCTGCTTATGCTTCCTTCTCTCTGGTCCCTTGGGAGTACAAGTGCATCCAGTATGCCTGTACCCAGATGTACTCATCAGAAAGCCATCTTCAGAATCAGGTGTTTGGTGGGTTATTCATTTAGTGGTGGTCCTAGACACATGGATTATCCCACCTGAGGCACTTGGGTGGCCAAGTGGTCCTCCAACATATATTAGCCCACTTGCAGAAGAGGACAAGGAGACAGAGAGGGACGTGCAGGTTGCTCACATAAAGCAGTGAGAGCAGAAGCAGACCACAGCACTTAGTCCCCCATCCACAGCATCCTCCCCTGGACAGGTCGGTCAGGAGTTCAGTCTGGTTTTCCTGGTGGAACATGATTGAGAGCTGTGCAGAGAAGACACTATTGTTTTGTGTCACCTCTGTGCCTAAGCCTTAAATTCACATGTTCTACCTGGCAATAATGTGCCACTCTGGTATTTATTCTCTATTTCTTCGATATGAGTGCTTTCAGAAGAAATGGTTGTGCTGCTTAATGTATTTATGGAAGCACTAGAACTAGAAATATGAACAAAGCACGTTTCTTCTGGATGCCTGCTAGCAGATTCTCTCCCTTCCTGTAAACTGTCTTTTCATAATCCAGAGAATGAAATATATGACATTTGTACTGTGTGTGAGGTTATCTGCTGGATGTAAAACCAGAGCCTTACAGGATTGCTCAGTGGCACCCTGCTACACATAGACTGCAAGAGCAGATCAGATTACTTTATTCCAGGAAGAGATATTTCAAGACATTTGAACTTTATTTCCCTATTTCAGAGTCTCAGAAGATTAAAAACTTGGAGAAGTATGTCCCTGTTGACTGGGCATAAGACCCACTTTGTCATATCCATGCCTGTGCTAGGAAGAGGACCCCACAGAGGGCCAGTTGCTGCCATCATCATCCACCTGTGTTTCCATCACTGTCACTGCTCTGTGCCCAGATTGCAAAGCTAGTCACTATTTTTTGTCGATTATTTACTTTCAGAGTGGCAGCAAGTGGGTTGCAGCGGTAAAGTTGAGTGAGCCTTTAGCCTGTCAGGAAGATAACTGGTTGACTACAAGGCAGTCACAGCACATGAAAGGAAAAACAAATTTGCTTTAAAAATTACAGGATATATTATATATTTATAATTAGATTGTATACATGGGATTGGCAAGCATCTGGTATAAATTAGTGTGTGAGTATTTAACCACATGGAAGAAGTATTTTAAGATTTTTGTCATACTCAAAGCAGGGAAATTGCATAATTAATAAGCTAGTACATTCTGGAATAATAAACCCAGAAAATCATAAGCACACAAATCTTAACAATATATATAACATATTTTTATGCTAGCAGAATAAACCTATGAGCACACATTAAGCACAATGTCAGACAGAGTATATAAGGAAATTGTTGACTGTACATTTGTAAAGGGGAAAACATGAAATAAAAATAAAACCTATTTGAAATTCTATATTTTGGAAAAGAAGAAATACTCACCTCCTTACCCAGACCTGTGTGGCCATTATGACTTCTGCACAGGCTGCCTAATATCAACTGAGGTTAGGTTAACAAGAAGCTAAGTGCACTCATAGTTAAAAAACATAAACATTCTGTATTGGTTAGACCTTTACACAATGTTTAATTTTCTATATCCCATTCAAATTAAGTAATAATTTCCTAAGACTCAAAACCTGTGAATCCCTCATACTCTCTTCCCAGCAGTAGTATAATTCAAGCAATTTTTACTGTTCAAAACAAAAGCCAAACTGCAGATAGCTTTAGTATTAGATTGAATCGATAGCTGAATGATTCTCTCAGACATGTCCCATTTGACTGATGGATGTTCCATTTCAAAGTTGCTCTCTAAGACTCAGCATTATCCCAGAAAGGCTCAAGAAAAGTCTTCTGGGACAGAAAACCTTCAGGCCTTCATCACTTAAATACACAGCCTAGTTACCTTAACTTGCCTTCTGCAAGTCTTTTAGGAATCTCCATAGTAAAAAAAGCTCCATGTACCTCCACTTGGTTTGGCAAAGAGCAATTTTTGTATTCCTTATAATGTTCCACATCTTTCTCTTACGTCAAGTGTACAGTAAATGTCTTGTACAAAGTGTCCAGTAATGATGGAAGACTTTACTAGAACTTTGAAAAGTGGCTCATAGAAGATATTTCCCAAATTATATGTATTATACTTGTAGCCACCTTCATCATAGGCTTCAGTATTTGTCCTGCTCCAGTGTGATACTTACTGGGTCACTAACTCCCTGGCTGCCATGCAGTCCAGGTTTTACATGATCATAATAGCATAGGTCTTCATTTGATCTTAATCAGTGTGCCAATATTTTCCATGCAGTTGTATGAAATTCTGCAGCCAAGTGACATCAGGACTTGGGTATTGCTTATGAAAAAATGAAATATCCCATGAATAAAATGACTGTCATCTGACAAGAGCTACAGCAGTCTCCTGGCTGCATCAGAGCTGTCTGCAAACACTGTCTTGAACATTGCATACTGTTCTCTTTGGTTTTCTACTGTACCTAGTTAGATGTTCATGAAATATGGTCCTCTTGTTTCCTTCACATCACCTTTTTAGAAAAGATTGACTATTTATATAATAATGAGGTGATTTCACCAGCAAAGAAGCCCTTTGTGTCTTCATAATCACAAAAAGAACATAGGATCACCAAACCTACTTCTACTGACTTTGCTAATTCCCCCAGGCATGGGAAGCAGATGCAAGGGCATATATGCTGAGAGCAGATTAAGATGTCTGCAGGGGTGTCCCCTTCCCCATAAGCATCTTGTGTCACATCTCGGGAGGGCTGGAACCCACCCATCACCTCTCCCACTGCATCCATCCCAGAGAAGGGATTGCAGGTCAGGGATGTCCAGAAGTACCTAAGGAGATGAGGACATTGTCAGATCACCGCTGGTTTGGGAAGATTTAGACTAATGTTTCCAAGTGCTGATGATCCATGGTTGAAAAAGACACAAAATCTTAATGACATGAACCTTGTTGTTACCAAAAATCAAGTAAAAACATTTAGATTGAACTAATGAAAGGCTTTGGTGATTGTCCACAAGCCATCTAAAAGGTAGTCAGGGTGTATTTTGGGATATACTCCAATTATGAGACCATTTCACCAGAGTTTTTTTCATCTGAAACAAACTCAGGGAGATTTTTTTTTTTACAGCACTCATGATGAGCTGTGCAATGCCAGCATGCGGTATGCATGAGATACAGGGAATAAAAGATTTTTTTTTTGTTTTCAAGACATGACTCGTGATCTCAACCCAGTCATGAGGTATGACTTGGAAGTTTTATACTGGGAACTGCAGGAAGCCTACAACATCCCCCTGGGGAGGAGGGGCATAGCTTGCTGGTGAGGGGCTGTGTACTGGGAATGCTCGAGTTGCACATAAACAGAGAAATTATGAACTCTGCTACCACCTACTCTGAAAATCATGCGGTGGCTACAAGTATTAGGAGGGGAAAAGTCTCCCCCTGGTGGGAATATATTTTTCTTCCATGAAATTAAAATGGAAAACCCTTCTCATCGTCAAATTGCAAATACAGCTACAATTATGACCCAAGAATTAGAAGTGATGGGCTCCACATAATATTGACTGTACAGTATATTGTCAACTAAATCCTTGGTGTCCTACCATCAATAATTAACTTGGAAATTTAAAAATGTAATGGCTTTCTATAAAGGTGTTTCAGTGACATGTCAGTTCTTTTCACATTGTATTACTTAATTGCAGCCTCATTTTCCAACAACTTTTCAATTTATTACTTTAAAATAATTTGAATTTATTACTGTACATGAAGAATAGACTTTATTTATTTGGAAATACTTGAAAATATTAGTATGTTGGTCTTTTATTAATCTTGTTTGTTGTTTTTTGTTTGTTTGTTTTGTTTTTCATTGAAAAGCACATATGTTCCGGTTCCACGGAAAATCAAAGTCAAAAAAGAAAAGGTGAGAAATGCTGGTTTGTAAATTTGTTCTGCTAATCTGCTTGTAGGTATTTTGCTTCTTTGGGAGACTACAAGAATCCAAGGAACCCCTTGACATTCATAAAAACTGCAACAAAAATGCACACACTTTATAAGGCTTAGCTAAACTAAAAGTTTAGCTTCGGTGTGCCATTCGGGCCATAGATCAACCACTAAATAACTGAGGTTGGAAAGAAACTGATTTTGTCACTATGCCATTGCATTACCACTGTTCTGAAGTTGCATTGCTTCCTTTGGTACCGCTCAGGGAGATTTAAGTTGCACCACTGGCCAATGGTGCTCAACCTCCACAGCAGTTGCTTTGTTCCCACCAGTTGCAGTCATTTGGATGTTACAACGCTTTGAGCTCTGGAGAATCTCTGGAGTTTTTTTAAATTAATTTGATTGTATAAATGCTAAAGATGTTTCTCACTCCTGGTCAGTTCCTTGTAATAAGGAGCTAAGTGAACTCTGAACAAATAAAACTGTGTGTTTCCAAGTCAGTGGAGAATTCATGATAGTATCAGTGGCTCTTGGGGAAGGCTCTTAGCCCACAGCTGTAATAACTACTTGTACCCTATTAAACAAGCTTGCAGACAGGGCTCAGGCCAAGTCCAGTCTGGTTTTGTCCCAGGTATGTTAATACTCTCCCAGGAAATGTTCAAGCAAAGGTTGCAGGATAGCACAGACCAGGGAATATTCCCTGTTTTGCACTGGCACAGAACTGAGCAATGTGGTCATGATCTGTGCCAAGCATTCCCTCAAGGGTAACAAAATACCTCTGGCCCATTTTGTTTCATAGTGTGAATGTGTAGAAGGCAGTCAGTCAGGGCTTCACTTCTGAGAAAGTTGAAGAAAGATGGACAAACCTGATACTCACCCTACAGAAGTCAGAAGAGAGTACAGCTCATGCATGCTGACTCATTGACCGAGTATGCTGTGGTTTAATAGACATGCCCTACTGCTGGAGGCAGGATTTCCCATGGGGCAGGATGGTCATTCCCATGTTGGACCTTTAGCCACCATGTGAAGACTGTTGCTGTAGCTGCGTGGTTTGAGGACATAAGCAAGGCACGTTATGTAGGGAGAGAAAAGAACATTTCCTCTTCCATAGACCTTCCAGCAAAATAAAAGTCTCATTCGCTCAGCCTTAGGATAAGCTGATTTTCAAAGAAGCTCAGGCTCCTAATGTCTCAAGGGCTGGTAAAGTATGACATTAGCCCAAGAGCATTAAAATTACAGCTTAAAGCACATGTCCTTCATTCGGGAGACCAGGTTTTGCCAAAGGCTTCAGATGAGACCTTTAATGAGTATCAGTTTACATCCCAGTGCTTCAAACTGTAGACCTCTAGAGAGTATTAAATAATCACTTAGCTCATCCCGACCTGTTGTGAGGAACATAATAACCTCTGCAAACCCCTTGTGAGATGCACTACAGCAGGTTGTTAAACTCATGTCACAGTTGAGTAGCACCAGCCCAGGGTACAGCTGGTGATATGCAGCAGCTTCCCAAGGAGCAGGGAGGTGAGAAGCTTGTATTTCTTCCCACACCGTGCAATGCAAAACACCCTGCAAGAAGCGATTACACATAGATACAACATCAGCAATTAACCTCTGACTTTATAAAAGGAAAATCCCTGCAGCTAACCAGATAGCACTCAAAAGCTGTTACTATAATTACAAACAGCATGGCGGGAAAAGCCTCTCTTTGCCTGATTCAGGCAAGGGGTTTAAAACCAAGGGCTCCCACCAGTCCTTGGATTTACTCCACACTCAGGTCTGATCTTAAGTTCTCTGTCTCCATTAGAGGGCCTCATAATTTCCCCAGGAGATAATCAAGTGCAATTTATGTCTTGTAAAACAAACAAACAAACAAACAAAACACATAGAAAAATAGCATGTTTGGGAAATAGAAGAAATGCAGCTGATGCAACCTAACAGGCTTCCTGTTAGTTCACACCTGACCCCTGGTTTCCTTAGATCTGTACCTATAGATACCAAGACATAGCTGGCATATTCTGCAGAAGATACAGTTGCTCCTATGTTCCCACCGAAATTAGAGTTGGACTCAATGATCTTAAGGGTCTTTCCTGACCTAAATGATTCTATGAAATCTGGCATAGCATCTTACGCTTGCCTTGCTCAGGCCTCCAACTCCCCAGAGGTCACCTACATTACAGCAGAATGCTACAGGGAGAGATGGAATGCCTAGTTTTCTTCTCACTTGTGCCATTTCATACCCTTTGTTTTCAGTAGGAATCATCCAGGATTTATATTAGTGTAAGCAGGTGGGCTATCAAGACCAAGGAAGGCACATTCATGTGTAATTGCATATGGAAAATATTCTTGAATGCACTTAACTATGAGACTTTATTTTTTCCTTTCATCTACCCTCAGGAAGTAACTACTATTCCTTTCTCCCCCACTCTCCTACCCCGGTATCCTTTAGGTGATGACATGATACCCCTGTTTTTTTTCCCAAGGTATTTCACTAATGAGTCTTTCCAATTTTGCCTAGATCCTGGTTTATAATCCAGCTTTTATGAAATATGTCTATGAAAACTGGCTCCAGAATCATGGGAGATACCCTTCCACAGGCCTTCTGTCTTTGATGTTTGCACTCCATGTATGCGATGAGGTAATGTGTTTGGGTATATGGATAAAAAAATCAGGATGTTTCACACTGAAGTGCCAGAAACATCCCCTGGCCACTCAGCCTTTATTTCCCCCTCTCCATCTTCTCTGCCATTTGCTTCTTCAAACAGATGCAGAGTTCTCAGTAACATGCAGATATGCTCAACTGACAACGATGGATCATTTTAATGTCAGCAGGTGGTAGGGTTTAAGATGCATTCCAGTGGAATATAAATAAACATAAATAGTGGGATTACACTTGGTATCAAGACATCTAAATATGGTGTCTGTGCCTATCGTGTTAGAGGAAGTCCCAATTATATTTTGTCTCACTGTTGAGGCACCAAGACCCATTGGTGTTTCCCTGGGCATGCCCTCTGCCTCCAGCTGCCAGGCCAGAAAAGTACAAATCTCCTGGCCTTGTGTGACATCTATCTGTCTTAAGTAGATATACTGAGTACTCCAGGACATCTCAAATGGCACTTATGTTTGGGAAACTTCACTGAGATCTAATCTGTCTAATCAGTGGAACCAAGAAGCTGATTCAGCAAATCAACCTTCTGGTAAGACATTAGGGAAGGAGGATCGTTCCCTGGTTTCCAGTGACTGTGCTGCTTGAATCGCCACTGACTGTAATGGATGCTCATGCACCTCCATTTGGATATCTAAACCTTAAACGTAATCCTACATGAAGAACTTCAATGACCAGCTCTTACATAAGCCCATTTGGGGAATGTAGATGGTCTATTTTCAAACCCAAGCTTGTGGATTTATACAGTAAGTTATGGTAAATGCCTCTGCTCCAGCAGTTACTTGAGGAAATTCCCAGGCTTGAGTGATGTCAGGTGCTCTTAGGTGATTGGAGACTTATCTAGTTAATGTAAGGCCAGGTCAAATCTACAAAAGCCTGCAAGCATGCTTATCAGCATAGGGGGATAAAAATCACTATGCTGGGAAAATCTCTAGCCTGGACACAGATCTGCTGATGAAAGAGAGTTTTTGTCAGCTAGGCCTGTGTTGTGTGGAGAGGTGTTGGAAATACTCCTAATGATGCTGGCAGAAATTGTACTATAGTCACGGCAGATAGGATGGGTGGCTTGGATGGAGCCTGTTTTCTGGTAAGCAGGCAATGAGTAAGGCTCTGACATTACCTAAAATAATTGAAAACTAGCTTGTATTTAGGTGGGTCCAGGTGTGGATGGATTAGGGTGCTTGTTCTGTGGGCTATGACCCATTCAAACCCAGACATATTGCCACTCTCAATTTAAATAAATCAACTCTGATGCTTGGACTTTTACCACCAGAAGAGACAGGCATAGCTATCAATGAATGAGCCTTTGGGAGAGGAAAGACATGTGCACACACAAAGAATGTAATGCCCATCTGCCTTTGAAACAACTGCAAATGTCATATAATTAAGCATATAAGTGGGGATTGACATGGGTCATCATTTGGAAGACTAGGAGCAAACCCCCAAATTTTCCACTCTTTGTGGCCTTAATCAGGTAGAGATTCCCATCCCAAGCCACTGACCTCCTGAGGTCAAACATCATGCTTAGGGGACAGGAATGTGTTTTTCATGTTGTTAAACAAGAATTCATTGACAGAAATGTCCTTTTCTGTCTGAGTTCATGTATGGTGGTGATCTCAGCACAGCTTAGGACGTAATGTCCCTTAAGCTTGGGCCATTATTCTGTTGTTGTATCTTCTCATGCAGCAGAATAGCTTGGCACACCACTGAGGTCTTCAGGCACTGCTGCCTTTAAATAAACTGAGAATCAAGAGTTTCTTCAACATTTCCTATGAAGATCGATTGCTTTCCAGACCATAATACTACTTTTCTCTTACTTTCTAGGTGAATGTGTATGGTTTTGGAGCAGACAGCAAAGGTCACTGGCATCATTACTGGGAAAACAATGCTTCAGCTGGAGCTTTCAGGAAGACAGGTGTCCATGATGGGGATTTTGAGTTCAATGTAACTTTGACTCTTGCCTCCATTGAAAAAATAAATTTTTTCAAGGGCAGATGACCCTGGCCACGGGGAGAAGTGGGGGGCTGCAATTTCCAACATGCAGCAGAACAAAGCTCAGTGAAGATGATCAGGGTGCCAGCCAGGTTTGAATGCGTGAATCTGCAGTGGATCTGGAGCGTCTCACTGCTGCAATGCTCACCGCAGGGAGCTCGGCCAAGGACTGGCTTCCACGCTGCACGTGATTTCCTATCTACAGATAGCTGGGAACTACCAATCAGATGTGGGAATAAATGAATCTCTGCTTAGGCTCTGTGGCTTCTGATGAAAGATCTGCCGATTGCAATTAGGGGAAACCTGGGCACAGGAACTGATGTTTTTGTGTCCGTTCTTTCCTCGGGTAAGGCAGAAGATCCTCAAAGAAGAGTGAAAACAACTTCTGGCACCTGAGACCCACCAGGGCAGCTGTGAACATCATAGTAAGGATTACCTCAAAGAAATGAATTCACTTCTGCTGTTGATCTTTTTGAACTGTTTCTTCTGTTTCCTCTATTACTTCTGGTTCCATGCTGTATTAAGGAAAAACATTATGAAATTTCCTGGAGTAGTAAATATTTCAACTATTGCCTCATTCTGCATTATTAGTGTCTAGAAAATATGGATCAAATCATCTCTGATCTTACGTTATTTAATATTGCTTCCTATACAGCCATAATGAGAGATAAAACAATACTGAAAACTCCAGCAAAAAAAGTGGCCTTTTAAGCCACTTGTTTGTTTGTCTGGTTTGGTTATATATAATTTTTATTTCTCTTTTTTTTTTTTTTTTTAGTGGAAAATATTCTGGAACATTCATTTTTATTTAATCAGTTTAAGGTTGGAAAGTGGACTTTTTCCTTTCAGTCATTTATATGTGCCTTTTATAATTGTGCAACAGATGTGATTTTTTTTTTAAGATGACAAATACTAAATTAAACTTTTTTATAAAAAGGGGAGAAATTAACCAAAGTTTAGTCTCCATGTGGTATACTTTTTTAGTCAAAAAATAATAATAACAGCTCCTATATTGTATTTGAGCAAACACAAACAAGACTAATTTTTAGAGGTAGCTTTTACCTTTTTTTATGGCAAAATATCCAAAAGTTCCAAGGACACTTTTCTTCCTATTTTTTTACAAATTTAGAAAGTGGTATCTCTTTACAAGGTCTCTGTTTGAAATGGAAGAAATATCATGGGTTGAGATATCAGCTAGTAATACAATAGGAATCTTTTGCCTTGTAGCAGCATCTACAAGGACACAATCTAAGCAAGCTGATCCCACAATGTAAGCCAAACTTCAAAATTATGTGCATCTCTGGAGGAGTTAGTTTATTAATGTCAGTACCTCTAGGCAGTTAGAGGAAGGAAGTGACAGTGGAGATTTTATATCCACTAATCTTTGCTGGAATCAATGTGTTTAATCCTCAAGGACAGATAAAGTATGAATTCAAGAAAAAAGTTCAGGTAGTGAAGAATGGAGAACAGTGGCTTCTTCTTCCCAATATCATGAAAGTAGGATTCATGAATTATTGACCCATTCTCAGCTCTGGTGAAGCCAGTGGAGTTCTTGCTACAGACTTCAAGGGACTTTAGATCAGGCTTGGACAAAATGGCATATCTAATTTTTAATTGATTACAATAATTGGAGTTTGTGGGAATTTAGAAATCATCATCTAAATGACTTGTCTTTCATGCATCAGTTATAGTAGCATGTCCAAGTAGATGAGTAGCTGAGCTCAGCGAAAGTCTAGCACTTCAACCAATAATGTGATTCCGTCAAAGCTTTATCCTCTTGTCTTTCTGTGCCAGTTATTAACAGTGAGCTCCCTTCCAAGGCAGCAATTCATGGCACAGTGACAAAGTCCTATGGAATATCCCTATTTTGGGCCACAGCACCACTCACTAACATGAACTGCTTTACCCACATGAGTATTACTGAACTCACAGCAGATAAAGAGACGAGGATATCAAATATCTTTGCAGAGAACTGAGCTCTTTTCGCTGTACACACATGACTGCAGTTTAGCAATACAAAAAGGGCAGGATTTTCAAATCCTCATGCTGAGACCTGTTCATGATCCTCATGTTAAGCCCTTCCTCAGTGGAACTTGCCTGCATGTCACAGGCACAGCAGATTCAATGACAGAATTACTGTTTTTCTAAAAGAATGAACTGGCTCTACCTGAACCATGTTTGGTTGGTTGACACATAACCAATGTTTAAATTGTTGTTAATCAATATGCTTCTAGTGAGATGACACAGTAATATAAGCAAAGCAACTTTAAGATGAGAAAGGCTCCATGGAAGACCCCAATGGAATCTTCACCCTATGACTGGATTTTAGAGATACTTTTTTCATCATAAGCTTCAAATATTTTATTATATTTTTTCTCATGGACAGATGTTACTAATTCAGAAACACTTCATTGCTGTTTCAGTCATTTTTAGAAAGACTTGAAAGAAAACTCATGGTGGTTTGGTACCCAAATGCCATTGATTTTTTTTTTATCACAGATGGCAGTTTGGGATCAAAGAGAGTGGTAAAAAGAAATCAGGTATCTTCTAGCCTGTGTTATTCTGAAAGTTTCCTTTTCCTATTCAAATTAAATTTACAATTTTCCCCTGAATATTCTGTCTCTGACATTACATTATGAAACATTGTGGCTCATACTGTCATGGATAGGTTTAGTATCTTCATCATGGAACAACCTGCAAATCCCATTTAATATTCTTGCCAACAGCAAGCAGCAACAGTGTACAACTGATGTCCATTTTTTAGAGTGTGAGGAGAGTAGACAGTGGACCTCTCCAGATGTAGGATGAGTGATAGTCTGTGCTAACACATTTCTATTCCAAAGGAACCTTTTCTAGAGTCCTTTAGGCAACTGATAATTGTGTTAGATCTTTGTCTCAGTTTCTCCACAATTTTGCTGCTCTTTCAAATGCTTTCAGAATAAGGAGATACCAACAGATGATGCTGAGGGAAGAATTAATTCCCACTGACAATGTTGAGGACTGTCTGTGTTCCTGCTGGAAACATTATGGGTTTATTTTGTTTAAAAGAACAACAAAGAAAAACATTTAGCAACATGTCAAGGCTTCAAGCTCTTGAACTGTATTTACCACCACTGCAAAGTCTGAAGCACTCCTTGAGTGTGTGTTTTTTTACCAAAGCCAAATCTCTTTAGCACTTTTTTCTCCCATGTCCAGACTTTCTTCTTATTTTTCTTTGACTACACAATCAATTATGATAAGAATTTTTTTTTTTGCTCTGATGGTGGAGAGTCTCACTTCTTTGACATTTTATTTATTTAATTTTACAGTATGATATGAATCAAAATAAATTTTTTATTGTAATCAAATCAAAGGTGTTTCTCTCTGTTCACACTTCTCACAATATTTCCATTAGCTCCTAGAACCTCCTCTGTCACATAACAGTGTAATGAAGCCTTAATCCACTTCCCTCCCACCCATCATTCGTGTGACATCAGCAGAGGAATGCATGCTTCAGACTGCCAGAAAGCCTGTGGCTGTGGGCATCGCACTCTCAGTTTATGGCAGCTCTAAACCTCTCTGGGGAAAAAATTTAAACTTTATATGCCTTTTGTCCCCTGATGGATCTGAGCTGTATTTAGGTGATATATAATAGAAATTAAGACAGACTCAGAAAGAAGTGGCTTGAAAAGAGATTCAACTCACCTGTTCTCTGGGACTGACAGACCTGGCTCCCATCATAGGAGAGATGTCGAGGATCCACCTCAGGTCCCCATTTTAAGGGCCCGATTTAGTTGGTATGATTACTCAAGCACTTTAGTCATAGACGGTTTAGGCTGACCTTTAGAAGAACCCAATCTAGGAGTTGTATATCTTTGATGTTACAAATGCTGGTGTCAGTAGATGTCACTTCAGCATGCCACACTCACTCATCTGTGTCACCATGGATTTACTTGGGGAGACTCCACCTTAACTATTTCTTGTGGACCTCATAAGCTGCTCAGTTTCCATATGTGACATTTCCATTCAATGTTTAAGGAAGTGAGTGGGGCACACAAACTAGTAGTGGTGCAAATTGCACATTCAGATGCAACCAACCTGGTTGCTTAGCGGTAGGAGCTCAAGAAGTCATCACAGGACACTTCAGGAAGCTCCTGTTCAGATACAGGCAATGGTCTGGTGGTCACAGTAAGAGCTGCTCTCTAGTGGGACCTTCAGAGGACGAAGCTATCAGGAGCTTCGTCACACTTTGCTTTTCAACCCAGGCTCTAAACAAGCTGCATCAGTGATATATTAACTACCACTATTGGATACAACCCAGCCAGCATCACAGTTGTTGAAAATGAGTGGGAGGTGGAAGCACAGAGGTCTGAGGAGTTAATGCAGTCACTTCAATTCCCCAAGTCTGGTTTCTGCCCAGAGCTTTTATAACCAGGCTGGTCACAGAGTTGTTCCAAACAGAGAAAGTAGGAGGGCTAACCTGGGATGACTGGAACTGGACTGTGTTTCACAGTGGCTCTGTACCTTCATACTTGACACTGTGGGAGGAGATGCAAAACATTTGCTCCTCTCTCACCCTCAGCAAAGCAAAATACACTGGGGAACATTTTGCTCTCTTAAAAATAATTTTGCACTTTGATTCATGTCCACTAACAAGAAGTATATTAAAATGCAGCTTCCTGGTCTGAAATGATTTTTTCAGGAAATTAATTTGCATAAAACCACAATCTAAAGACCTCATGAGACCGGTAAGACATGCAGCAGTGACAACAGCAACATCCAGACAGATGGACCAACCACAGGAGTTGGACAAAGGACTTTGCTTGTACCGTCAAATAAAGAAAGAAAGTACCCACAGGGGAACAATATGGCTTCCGTTCATGGCATGGGTTCCTTTGACGGCTTACATTCAGGATAACAATTAAACTCAACAAATGAAAAGGCAAGGGTGTCCCTTGTCTCCTTTACAATCTCTGGTTTCACTTGTCTTTCCTACAGACTTGCAAGGAGCAGATCTCATTACATTTTATTATCTTCAGGCAATGTGAAATAAAATGGGGTTCACACAGTGAAAAGTTCTCCAAGGTTAGGTACTTTTATGCAGAGAGAAATCTCTGTGTTTTCAGTTCAATTTTCTCCTATAGGAAATGTAACATGTTGCTTTACCCCTTAATTTCTAAGGTAACCTGTGGCTGACAGAATATAAATAAATCCATATGGGAATTTGTCCGTGTCTGTGACATTAACACTCCTACCAAGACTGGACATTTCCCAGAATAGTTACTTTTTTTCACAGAATCAGAGACTCCAGAGTTACACAGCAACTACCAGCTGCCTCCCAGTCCACACAGACACTAAATCAGTAAGAAAAGCATCCTGGCCTCTGCCACTAACTCTGCATCCTGCAGCACCCTGATGTTCCTCCAAGGATGCCCCAGCCAAGCCTCCAAATCAAGTGTTATAACAAGGAGCTCCTTACAGTGGTTTCTCCCCATGTGGATTTTTGTGTTCCCCTCCTTGCTTTCCTGGAGTTGGCCCCAAAGCTGTCAACATCCAGGGGAGCTGCACACTGCTCCCCCAGCCCAAGCCCACAGTCTGAGGCTGGATGTTTGAACGGACTGGCCATACTTGAACTGTGCTCTGAAGCATGTCCAGTTTGCAGCCACATCATTTGTTCAGCCTGCACATATGTGTGAGTGGGTTTCATATGGTAGAAAATAATGGAAAGAGTGATTTCTACTCCTATTTCTCCTTCAAGTGTTGGAGGATTTTGTATAACACATCCTCATGTTCAGATATCAGAGAGTGGGTA